CCTTAAACCAGCCTGCAATAGCTAGAACCAGCCTGCAATACAAAACAAGCTTACAGCCTGTGATACAAAACTGTACGAGACTTTGGATATCTCTATATAAGTGATCCAACTTATACAATACAGTTTAGCAACTAAAACATGCATGAGGACACTTTTATTTTAAATGTCAATGTTGGAAAACCAATTGTACAACATTTCATCACTCAGGTGTCAGATCATGGAGCAAGAAAAGGTCCATCAGCTGGAAAAAAAATTGACCCTTGCAGGGTTCCACACACAAAAAAGACTAGGGTCTGCAGTTTTTTCTAGTGTCGGGAAACAGGAAACACAACATTTTTTTCCTAGGCCTAAGGCCACGGCAAGTAAATTTTATGGATGACATCCTACACAGACTCCAAATCTAATGCGAGCGGGTGAAAAAAAAAACAAGGCGGGCCGAAAAAAACAAGGTTCCTACATTTTCAAATTTTGACTCAATCATTGTACAAATGGTTTTGATTCAGTGGGAATATCACATATACGCAGCCACCATCACATATCACCGCATCAGTAAGAAACAAAACATTAAATCAGAGCCTTTTCTTGTCTCCTCTCTTCATAGTTATCTGCCATCCACCTTCCAGAATGGCAACAGACATCTTTGCCCATTTTCGGCATGTTGACCACTGTCAGAGGGCAACAAAATTTCTTTTTTTTTTTCAAATCAGGCGAAAATTAATGCGCACGCTGATGTCATCCATAAAAATTACTTGCTGTAGCCTGACGGTAACTCCACTATTCAGCGGCCCACTACCCCGGGAGCTCTGACATGCTTCATAATTCATGCCAAGGCTGCATCGATTATGTAAACAGCCTGCCACGGGGCAAGCCTCATGATGCCTCCCGCTTCACGTGTCTCTATTATCTCCATCTCGTCAGTAATATCTCTGCCGGGACGCCCCACGGTCGATACATTCTAGTCAGGAGGGGGTTGGAAGGACTTGTGTACCGAGATAAGATTCAGTGTTGATCCCTTTGAGTTACTGGATGATTTACATGTGCGTTGATGACTGCCAGCACAGCAAGACTTTTCAGTTTCAGCTGACGAGTCGTAGACAAGTAAGTTTCTTTAGAAGTTGTGTACGGAGGTAAAATTCGCCGTTGATCCCTCTAAGTTACCGGATGATTTACATTGTGCATCGATGACTGCCAGCACAGCAAGACTTTTCAGTATCAGCTAAGGAGTCGTGGGCAAGTAAGTTTCTTTCACCAGCAGTTAGAACTAATGTGTATACGGAGGTAAAATTCACCACCGATCCCTCTAAGTTACCGGATGATTTACATGTGCGTCGATGACTGCCAGCGCAGCAAGACTTTTCAGTTTCAGCTAAGGAGTCGTAGGCAAGTAAGTTTCTCTCACCAGCAGTTAGAACTTGTGTACGGAGGTAGAATTCGCAGTCGATTCCTCTGAGGTACCGGATGATTTACATGTGCTTCGATGACTGCCAGCACAGCAAGACTTTTCAGTTTCAGCTGACTAGTCATAGACAAGTAAGTTTCTTTCACCAGCAGTTAGAACTTGTGTACGGAGGTAAAATTCGCCGTCGATCCCTTTGAAGTACCGGATGTGCATCAATGACTGCCAGCACAGCAAGACTTTTCAGTTTCTGCAAACGAGTCGTAGACAAGTAAGTTTCTTTCACCAGCAGTTAGAACTTGTGTACGGACGTAGAATTCGCAGTCGATCCCTCTGAGATACCGGATGGTTTAAATGTACACTTTCCGACTGTGTGTCTCGATGTCTGACAGCGCAACGTGACTAACAAGCCGATGACAAGCTTCCTTCACCAGTAGTTAGAACTTGTGTACGCAGATAAAATTCGTCGTCAATCCCTCTGAGGTACCGGATGATCTATATATGCCCAAAAGCGCCGGTCGATGCCTTTTAGTGAAGCGTGACTTTTTCGAAATTAACATTAGTCGGTGACAAGTTTCCTTCACCAGCAGTTAGACCTTGTGTATGGAGATAAAATTTGCCGTCGATTCCTCTAAGGTACCAAATGATCTACATGTACACATTGCCGAAATTGTGTCTCGATGTCTGACAGCGCAACGTGACTAACAAGTCGATGACAAGCTTCCTTCACCAGCAGTTAGAACTTGTGTACGCAGATAAAATTCGTTGTCGACCCCTCTGAGGTACTGGATCATCTACATATGCCCAACAGCACCAATCGATACCAGCCAATACAGCGTGACTTTTCAGAGACTAACGAGTCGGTGACAAGCTTCCTTCACCAGTAGTCAGAACTTGTGTACGCAGATAAAATTCGGCGTCAATCCCTCTGAGGTACCGGATGATCTATATATGCCCGAAAGCGTCGGTCGATGCCTTTTAGTGAAGCGTGACTTTTTCGAAACCAACGAGTGGATAACAAGCTTCATTCACTTGCAGTTAGAACTTGTGTACGGAGATAAAATTCGCAGTCGATCCCTCTAAGGTACCAAATGATCTACATTATGTACATGTATACATGCCCAACGGCACCTGTCAATGCCTTTTAGTGAACGGGGACTTTTTCGAAGCCAACGAGTCGTTGACAAGTTTCATTCACCAGCAGTTAGGACGTGTACTCAGACAAAATTCACCGTCAATTCCTGTGGTACTGGATGATCGATACGGCCCAACGACCCAAATGTCGGTGACGGTCAGTTCAGCGTGACTATTCAGCTAACAAATCGTTGACAGTTATCATTCACTTGCAGTTAGAACTGGTGTACGAAGACAGAATTCACCGTCAATCCCTCTATGGTACTGAATGATCTATACGGCCCAAATGTCGGTGACGGTCGGTTCAGCGTGACTTTTCAGAAGCTAACGAGCCATTGACAAGTTTCTCTTGCACTTGGAGTTAGAACTTATGTACGAAGATAAAATTCATCGTCAATCCCTATGTAGTACTGAATGATCTATGCGACCCAAATGTCAGTGACGGTCGGTTCAGCGTGACTTTTCAGAAACTAACAGGTCGTTAACAAGTTTTCTTTACCAGCAGTTAGAACTTGTGTACGAAGACAAAATTCAACGCCAATCCCTCAGTGGTATACGTACTGAATGATCTATACGGCCCAAATGTCGGTGATGGTCGGTTCAGCGTGACTTTACAGAAACTAACGAGCCATTGACAAGTTTCTCTTCACTTGCAGTTAGAACTTATGTATACCGTCAATCCCTCTGTAGTACTGAATGATCTATTTGGCCCAACGGCCCAAATGTCAGCGACGGTCGGTTCAGCGTGACTTTTCGGATACTAACGACTCATAGACAAGTTTCCCTTCACTTGGAGTTAGAACTTACCAGAAGTAAGAGCCTGATTATTATTATTATACAGAGTCACCTCCTAATAAATTATTTCTCAGCTTAGCTGCTGGTGGTGATGAAATTTGCCGCGGGAGTTATCGCCGTAAAATCACGGGTGATGATTCGACGCAGATGAAACGATTTACATCTGTGCGTAGGGAGCTAAATTGTAGTCTAGACGGCTCAATCTGGGAGTACTCTGACAATTGATTTTGGAGCTTGGTGAATGTGTAGCTCTCAGCTGTAAAGTTGACGACAGTAACTGCGGTGGCCAGCTGGTGATTGGGACAGCCCGGTGCAGCCTGTCCCAGTGGAGTATTCATCCTGATTTGCGACAGGGAAAATCTGTCAGCATTTTCAGGTGAGCACACTTCATGAGGGACTATAGCGCGGTGTTACAGTACCTTTTAGGTACAGGTTCAGGTAATGTACAGGTCTGAAGTAGCTTACATTGCCCTACGACCTAATTCAGTCTGAGTCTCCATTATTGCCAACTGAAGTGAGGTATCCTAATGGAAAACTGTCAAGAAGCATTCACTGAAAGAGTAGTATAGACTGATTGTGTTTATTTGATCTTACATATATGTGACTGTACAGTCCTGTGTAGTGTTTGCACCTACAGCTTTAACTGGTTTTCCTGTCAACAAAACAAGGTAGGACCGAGAGAATAATATGTTGTCTGCAATCAGTAAGGGCTAATCTAATTTTTAAGTTTTATTTCATTATCATTAGACAAAGATTTTTCTTCAGTGTTAATGATGGTTTGTTATATATTTTGTAATAGGCTATTCTACACAATTATGGTGTAAAGTTGAATTTTGCCAGACTTTCAAGAAATCATTTTTTATTTTATTTTTCAGGGAATAAATTGTGGAAAGATACTGCTCGGGCCCATTCGTCTGAAGACAGTGCACTGATGCGATGGATAGTCCTCACTAACGTTCAACTTTGGAATTTCAACAATAGAGACCTTCATATACAACCAGCTGCGTCTATTTAGCAAACGTTCAGTTTTTTAATAATCTTCAGTTTTTGTTCAGTTACTTCTTTTCATCTTTCTTTTTTTTTTCAAAATCTACAATGTATAGACGTTGCAACCACCACTGTCCTCATTGGGTTGCTAACCCCTTACGCAGTCCAATCTACATCAAACCCTGATGATACTACATGTAATTTGTGGACATCTATAATGACAACTGGAACGGCCCTACAGGCCCTGACGTGCATGTGTGCAGGGTATTTACTGATCTCAGAACTGTGGCGACCGTTACATCTGTAAGTAACAGTGGTTCAAATCCCGTGACCCAGGAGACTTCACTAATCTCCACCCTTATTTAACCCTGAACCATACAACGTACGCTCTTCGGCCTAAGCCGCTTTTCAAGAGCTCAAGGAGGGGAGGATGGTTCATTCACAATGCATCGTTATTTAGTAACGTGCGTGTTTCACAGCAACAGCTTTGTTCAAACCAGTATTTGAGAGGACCTCCACCACCTGAACTTAGACAAGATCAACCCACAGGACAGAGACAAGTTGCGAGCTGCCATCAAGCCCCAGCTGTACAGTGCAAGCACGTCTAACCCTCGGAAGACGGGGAACAACAGACGATAAACCGGACAGTCAGTGAGTGAGTGAGATCTGCCATAAGGATTTTGCAAGGATGGCTGAAGTCAACACGACTGGTTCTCCCGTAGTTGATTTTGCGGACGGAAACGCTACGGTTGCGGTTAATGCCACCATGTTGGCAGAAACCGTGGCCATGAGCAGCCTTGTCGTTTTACTGACCGTTTTCGGCATCCCCGGGAATGCGGTCATTGTCATCTCCATGGTGATAAACCCGAAGCTTCAGACCGTGGCCAACGTTTTCGTGCTGAACATTGCGGCGGCGGATCTGTCGGTGATCCTGCTTCTGTTGTGCTGTGTGCCAGCTCTAGGGTACGGACACTGGCCGACAGCCTTAGGTAAGTTTATAATTCATATCACACCCAGGCCGTGATAACGTTCGATAACGGGTTCTGGACCGGGCCGTACTTTACGGTATGGCCCGGGCTTCCCTAGCTTCCATAGAACGATTCAAACGTGTTTTGCCCTAACCGTGTGCGCCACTTTCAAAAATTCAAATACAGAATTTAGACGTTGGAATTGATGTTGTTGCATTTTTTAGTTTCGGGACACCAAACTTGGGCTCATTTTGCATTGTAAGGCGTGTTTTCTTGGGTGGGTATGCCATAAATAAAATACAACACGGTGTATTCAGCATTGCCCTTGGTCCCAGCCCTCCTGCGAGTCAGATACCTCGGGCGATACGGAATACCCCGTGTTGTATTCTATATCAGCGTTCTAGCCTGAGGTTTTCTTCCGTCATCTCAATTTTGTTTGACGTAACATTTGTCAATCCTAGCGGGGTACTGTTCAGGGTGCATGCTTCCCCAGTATTATTTTAAATTTTGACCCTATGGCTATATCCTACACTTTGGTAAGCAAATTCTGCTGGTATACTAAGCTTAGTTTAATGACATCTCCTTCCATATCTTTACATGCAGATTTTTTTTTCCAACAAAGATGACAGATTTGGCAAAATTCCAATGCCAATGAAAACACCAACATTCTTTTTTTTTTTATCCTAAAGGGTTGATGTTGAAAACCTTTAGATCTCTTTCATACAAAATGAAACTGCAGAAAGTACATATTAATATTAATTCTTTTTCTGTTTGATGGTGGCCTTAATAAGTCATATACAGTAAGCCTGATGTGAGAAGAGCATTCTGTATTTCTTTACTTCTATTTTTCTAAGTACTTTTACCAACTAAATGTACAAATGTATATACAAAATTGAATGTTTGTTTCAACTGCTTCCTTTCTCATGGCCTTTATAACTGGAGCTTTTACTTTGACTCACTCTAATGTCTATTGAAAACTATTTACAGAATACTATATTAGCTATGCAACCAGCATGGAACATTTACAAAACATTGTGATGAGAACTTAAGCCCCAAGGATATCGATATAAAAAGCTCACTGTCTGAAAACATATCAAAAGGACTCCACTCACACCATTGTGAAACAAAGACAGAATGACGAAAAATTGCTTATAGTCAGCACTATACACACACTATACGCATTCGTATGTCTGAGAATGTAAAGCTCCTATTTCCCCACAGAGTTTTTGCAGACAATTGAGGTTCATTTTGAAGTCCCAAAGGTCCTACCAATCAAGGATAGTTTTCTCTACATGTCCACACAGGGCTCGAAATACTTTTTTTCTGCATATACTGTACATTGTACATGTACCTGCACTTGAAAATTATATACCTGCACCAGACAAATTTTTCCTGTGCCACTCAGAATTTGGGAAGCATGGATCACACTAAAATAGTAAAAACTGTTCAGAAACCGTTGCTATTACATGTATTTGTATACAATTATGTGCTAACAGTCAATGCTGCATATAAAAATTCACATGTACAGCTCCAATTTTACTTGCACTAACCTACAAACAATACAGATCTGGAATAATTTGAATTTACATGAGATCAAAAATCTTGCATAATGCAATCAAAAGCAGTGCATTTCTTAATTAAAACATGTGCAAAAGCAAGTACAATTCTCACAATAGCATATATATATTTGTATGATCCCGTGTAGTTATGTATTATACATGTACATAGCCACTCGCGACTGCATCTAATTAGCACACAAGGTTTACACAGCTTTTACGCAAGTTCTCACCGCATGTTACAAGCCTTTTAAACGGCTTTCAATGTAACATGTATGCAATTTAAACCACTTTTGCACTTGAAATAAGTCAAAATCCTTCATAAAATGCATTGAAAGATCTGTACTACATGTATACAGTTGACATTTCGAGCCCCGGACGCACTTCTATTAACAAGATGTATCTTGCATTAGTTATCCATCAATGCCAGGTACATCATTAGGCAAAAGACCTCAGACATATAGATCAACAGGAGAAGATAATTGCTAATCTGATGAAGGTTTGGAAAACATTAATCATCAAGCTTGTATCAAAGCCAACTTACATCCTGTGTAATGAGATATAAGTAGAGAGAATGTTCATGTAAAAGTTAAAGGCATTACGCAATTTTAGGGCGGCAAACTGGATTTTTAAAGTCTATTTTTTTGTCATTCTTTAAAGTAGTAACTTGAATCAATCCTATCCCATAGCATACTGATATCTGTGAGGCAAAATGTGATGTCGCTGACAGAAATTTTTTTGTATCATTGGCTCAGTTCTAACTATTTATGGGTGGTACCAAAAAATAAAGTACTACCTCATGTAGCTAATGTTTTTTGGCATATTTCAAATGCTTCAAGTATGAAACAATGAAGAAAATATACAGTAAATGTCGATATGAGACAGATCATTCTATAATTTTCAATTGCCATCCTGAAATTGCATTGGATGCCTTTAAGGCACGTCGGGCCATTGCAAATAAATTGATGATAAACCAGCAATGTTCTTTTGGTGTATCTAATTGTACCAAACTGTACATACATAAATTTATATTTCAGATTTCTAGAAGTGAAAAAATAATGTCTTTAAGTATAAGGAGCTTCATCTGCATGTGTGATACATATCCATGTAGAATACAACACGGTGTATTCCGTATTGCCCGAGGTATCGGCCTGACTGCGATCTGACTCACGAATTCGGGGCAGGGACCGAGGGCGATGTGGAATACACTGTGTTGTATTTTATTTATGTCATACCTACCCAAGAAAACACACCTTTTGATGCAAAATGAGCCAAAATTTGTTGTCCCTAAACCCTAAAATGCAACAACATCGGTTCCAACGTTTGAATTCTGTCTTCGAAATTTTTGAAAGCGGCGCATGCGGTTAGGACGAAATGCCTTCGAATCGTTCTATGGAAGCCCGGGCCGTATTGTAAAGTACAGCCCGGTCCGGAACACCCGTATCGAATGTTATCGCGGCCCGGGTGTGACATAAATGTATAATATATGGAATGCACTCGAGCAACTTTGCTCCCAGGCTGTTCCTAACCTGACACATGTAATTCACAGGTTTCCAATAACACAGTCAATACCTGTCCCTTGTCACTACCATGTACTTGGCAACTATCCTGGAGCTACTGATTGTATTGAGCTAAAATCAATGTTCCTGACAAAAGCACGCCTCAATTAGATAATTAGCTCTGCAGAAATGTCCCTAAGGAGTTTCATACAAGTAGACAATATCAGAAAAACTGTCTTTCATCTTATTTGTAAATCTTTTAGTATAGACATGGGAATGGGATTAGAACTGGAAAGTTTTAACCACTAGCCTGATGTGAAAAGAGTCACACCTCAAGCACAAGCAAAATCAATACCATATCATGTCCAGGTCAAAAGACACAAAAACCCTGCTGCAGTACTAAAGTCAGCCACCAGGAGGCCCGTATTTGACAATCATTGATCATTGAGGAAAAACATTCATCAAATTGTTGTACAATTTGACAGCTATTGTACTTTTGTATTTGAGTCTGGCAAATGTACGTTAATGTGCTATTTCCCCATAGCCATACTGCTTGTAGCTATAATATTTCATAAACAAGAGAACTGGAATTATTATATTTCACTTCATGAGAAACTGAAGAGGCTCAAGCGATAACTTGGCAATACCGTAGTTAAATTTTGGGCAGAAGTTATTCTGGAATGTTCTTCTGTTACACAGGGGTGAGTTTGAAGCAGTCTAATTTCATGGGGAGGGAGATAGAGTGAAATATGCTGTATTTGCTTGCAAATTTGAATAGACCTGATGATGGACTAAACCAGTAATACACAATGGCTGGCTAACCAAATTATCTCTAATGTGTCTTGATTAACCCAGTTACGGCTGACAAAAGATCAATTGTTGAAAAATTGATCATGCAGTACTCCCAGGGGTACAATAGGTTAGGTTGAGGCCACTGCACCCTGTTCTAGATTAAAGGGCTAGATAATGCTAATTGTTTAAATAATGTTGCAAATGGACAAAACAATGGAACATTGGAATTTTCTTTTACAATTACACACCAATTTCATTTGTTTCTCGGATTTTTTCAGAAAAAATATGAAGCGACAGGGTGAAATAAAAATAAATAAAAAACAGGCCAAGGCACCCCACGATAGCCGGAAATGTTACAATATGAGCCATGAAGTCAACATACCAGGCTGGTTTATAATTAAAACAATAGATTTTGAACTTTTAAAGAAACAAAATTGCATTGTTAGTAAATGTTACATTGAAAACCTTTGGGAGCTAGAAAGAAAAGGACTTTCTTCAACCGTTGGGGCCAAAATATGTCTTTCATTGAGCATTTTGCAGTTAATTTAGAACCGATAAATTTTTTTTTTTTTTGCAAATCAGAAAAAAATAGACAGGGCGATCTGAGAAGCAACAAATCAAATTGGTGTGGCCTAATCAAAAAAAGTCTAACCAGAAACAGAAATTTTTTTCCAAGGTCTAACTTCATGTTTCAGGAGTGACAGTGAAAACAGTAAACACAAAAGTACATGTACCTAGAAAAAAAAAAGAATTACAGTCTGTACTGCTAACAAAGTGACCTTACACTGGCAGTTATCCTAAAAGAATGGGGCAATTTCACAGCGAAACATTACCAAAAGATCAGAAGCAATTCAGTCTAATTTAGTTCCCGGTTCCACCAGCCAGGAAAAGGATGATCTGACACACTCAATTTGCCTACTTCTCCACTGACCTTTCCTTGAGCATTACTTCTCCTTAAAAATGCTGACAGGGACGTCCTTGAAGAATCATTTTTCTTTCTTAATCAGTATAAATCAGTGAGCCCTGGGGATTAAGAGATGGCATTAAGGTGGAGATAAGATGTCGTAGCCCGCGGCGAAAACTCCCTGAGTGTAACCTTGTCCTCAGGATACCCATTGGTTTATTTCTGCTTAATTGAAAATCATGCGTGTGGAAGACAGAGAAGAGCTCCAGCATTGGGAGCTGTAAGTTGTAATCAGAGGACTGTCGTCAAAATCAGCACAACCTACAAGCCAGAAGCATCTTGTTAACCTAAGCCTTAATTTTATGGATGACATCCTCTGAAGACCTCCAAACTAGTGCGTGCAGGCGAATAAAATAAAAGTCCGGCCAAAAATAAAAATGCTGTAATCCACAGGAATACAAAGCTGGAATTGTGAATTCGTGGCAGTACTTACCGACGTATACGACGGCACATGCTGGCTTTTTGCGGAATTTGTAAATCGGCACTGTACGTATGTACTGAGTTCTTGAGTCGTGGAGCTTTGGTAGCCTGGGTGCCCGGCTCCGTATTGTCGCTAACTACCATGGACTACCCAGGCCTAGAGCCTTGCATCTCAGTGCTTAGATTTGGGGAACTTCTTCTAGAAAGGGTGTTTGATAAGGCTGATGCAGCATTCTAAAATGATTTACATTTAGATTTACGCCTGATTATTTGATTAACATGTTTAATTTCACTGCACTTAATATTTGTTTAATGTCTATGATTTCCTCTGTAACACACCTTGTTTTGTTGGCATCCTTGGAAATCAGTTGTTTTAAACTGAAGGTACTACCCAACTCTTTTAAGATCAATAAACAAATCAATTCTTCCTTGCCATGTCTAAATACTCATAAAAGCAGTGTCTACAACACCTGTCCCTGGTCCTGAAACAACAGTGTTTTCAGCACCAAGGACAGGTATGTATAGGACAGGGGTTTCAGACTAACTTCTGCCTCTCAGGCAGTAGAATTTAGTTTTCCACTACCTTTTCAGGTTCTGTGGGCTGCAGTATATACGGGTTCCTGTTCACAGCCTGCTGTATCGCCTCTACCTACAGCCTGGCAGCCACCGCGCTGAACAGATGGTGCCTCATCGTTTACCCATCCAGATACCACAAGGTCAGTATATCAACTTGAAGTACTGCAAGGCTGAAAATACCACCTCAGTCAAAATGATTATAAATATATATTTAAGCCCTTTTTGTGTAATTTATTGCCTTCTTCTAGAAGGCTATGAAATTGCTTTGCTATAGTGTGGGAGACTATGCGGCACAATTCTAAAAGGCATGGTTCGATGTTCATGATTTTTGGTAGGCAAGTTACCGTTTGGGGAGACCTTTTTTGGGGGGATCCCTGCAAGGGACATAAATTTTTCAAACTGATCAACGTTTTCTAGCTCCATGATCTGACACCTGGGTGACAAAATCTTGTACAATCAGTATTTGAACATTGACATTGGAAACATAAGTGTCCTCAAGCAAGTTTAAATTTGTTAAACTGTATTGTGTAAGTTGGATCACTGGAGATCACCTATTAGTAAGTCTGAAAAAAAGGAAAGAAAGAAAAGATAATCCCTACATACCAAGATTTTAACCGACCCTATTTTTTTCAGGACTCAAACAGGAAACACAACAAATTTTTTCCTAGGCCCTACCTTGTGACATTTCAGGTGACCCATTTCTCAACTCTCCAGGGAATTTGCTGAAGTATTGCAAAAAGGGCAAAACCTTTAAAACAAGTCTGTAAAATCAGACTATTTCACGCTTCATATAACTTAGAATAAGTTAGATTGTAACTCTGTGCAAAGTACATGTGGGTAGGGAAAACTGGCCTTCTTTCATGGTGAAATAACCCATCATAATGTTGGTAAGGCCACAGCAAGTAATTTTTATGGATGACATCAGCGCGTGCATTAATTTTCGCCTGATTTTGGAGAAAAAAAACAAGAAATTTTGTTGCCTTCTGAAAGTGGTCACCATGCCGAAAATGAGCAAAGATGTCTGTTGCCATGCCTGAAGGGGAATCGCAGATAACTATGAAGAGAGGAGACAAGAAAAGGCTCTGATTTAATGTTTTGTTTCTTACTTTGATGCAGTGATATGTGATGCTGGCTGTGTATATATATGTGATGTTCCCACTGAATGAAAAACATATGTACAATGATTGAGTCAAAATTTTAAAATTTAGGAACCTTGTTTTTTTCCACCCGCTCGCATTAGATTTGGACTCTGCGGAGGATGTCATCCATAAAATTTACTTGCTGTGGCCTACTTTACAAGCCAAGTGCTGCTTGGGTGTCAAACGACTCAAAGCTAGAACTCCAAAATGACATATTCATGGTAACATAAATGTCAGTATCTGAGAGCACTAGCCATCAAACTTCCATATTGTCAAAACCGGCCTATTTTGAGACAGTATGTGTTAAATTAAACATACATCCAATTACACGGTATGGAACCTGTAGTCATTTTTCTGTCTGGGTATTGCAATTGATCTTCCATGTACAACTGTGAAGAGTAAAGTAAGATCTGAAGCAGTCCATTACATGGGTCGTGGATCAAAGATGTACTCAACATATCCAATAACAATTTGTTATCGCACTATATAAAGCAACACATATAGAATAGTACAAGGTGTATTCCAGCAGCGTGCAAAATACTTGGCTGCCCCGTTGCCCCGGGCAACCAAATTTTACTCTGGGCAACCTATTTTTGAACCTAGGTAGCCCAGTGTGCTACCTGAATTTTAAGAATGCCCCTCCCCCCAAAATCATGCCCACTTGGCTTGCACTACTATATCCGGCAGATGCTTTTTTGATTTTAGGCATTAATGGCTATTACTAGTATCAGTTAACTAAAGGCTGTTAGACATTACTTAATTTGAGGAAAGTAGTGGGGCAACCTAAAATTCTGATGGGCAACCTAATTTTTGCCGTAGGTTGCCCACTCAAAAAGTTTTTTGTACACTGGTACTCAACATATCCAATAACAATTTGTTATTGCACTGTAAAGCAACACATATAGAATACTACACGGTGTATTCCATATCACCCAAGGTACCAGCCCGACCAAATGTTGGATCAACTGACATATTATATTTACGTCATACGCACTCAAGAAAAAAAAACATTTTAATGCAAAATGTGACAAAATTTGAGAAAATTTGGCATCCCTAAACAAAAAATTTCAACAACATCAATTCCAAATCTGGTTTTCAAATTTTCGAAAGCAGCACACGTGAAACAATTTTGATTTATTTTATGGAACTTTCGGAAGCCTGTGTGATAACCGTTAGAACCCCATGTGATATGGGTAGTTATCACACAGGCTGGAACATCCATATCAAACGTTATCGCAGCTCAGGCAAGACATAAATATATGTGCAAACCTGTGCTTTTCAAATGTCATGGCTGGCTTAACAACTACTGGCTTTTCAGCACCAAGGACAAGAGAGGAAGGAAGGATTTTATTTCCTAATATTCACAGCAAACAGTGGTGTTGAAAGGCCAAGTGGCTAAGCTAGCAGACACAAGATCAATCAAGAGGTCTTGAGTTCAATCCCTGGCATTTCTGGCTAGATGTTGTGTCCTAGGGAAAGGCACTTTACATGACTTTCCTCACTCCACCTACATGTAGTGTAAACCTGACTTCTGTTGGGGAAGTAAAAGACAGTAGGAGTGGGATGGGCTTAGTGTTAGACACAGTTGACTGACAACCCACCACACCTACAGCCTCATAAAGGCTATGGGTCTACATGCACATGTACCTTTACCTTTTTCATGTAGCAAAACTGTATTACATCAAACTTCCTATGTATAATATACATGTACTTGTCAATTACGTTATTACAGATTGTAGCTGAAAGGAAATAAAAAGTTTCCAGGATTTGAGGGATTTGATATTTATTTTCCCTAATTTTGTCTCCTCTTTCTTTGTACTGCAAACATCAGAGTTCTGGCTAAATATTTTCCATCAGCTCAATTCTGTTTGACGTAACATCGAATGCCAAAGGTGTAAGAATCCTTGGGGGGGGGGGGGGTCTTGGGGCATGCTCCCTCTGGAAAATTTTGAATTCTTGGCCCTCTGAAACACTATTTCTTGCATTTTGAAGGCCAAGTCTTGCTAGTAGGCTAAGCTTAGTGACAACTGACAACTCTTTCTATATCTTTCCACACTGATTTTTGTCCATCAAAGATGACAGATTGTGTACAAAATCAATCATCAGAAATTGGCAAAATTCTTTCAAAATGACAGAAAATTTAAATGGACACTGGCTAGAACACTGCGTGTATGTATTCTATGCGTGCTTTTCTATTTCAACTTTGATTCTCATGATTCTCCACTAGTAAAGTCGAACAAGAAAAGACAAAAGTCGTCACTCGTAAGTGATGTAAAAGTATTACAAAATTATCCCCAGAAAAGTTCCAATTTCCTGAGTGTCTGACAAGACAGACAGATTGTAATGGAGCTGTCATTAAGTCTGGCCAGACAAGAGACTACCCCAAAACGATACGCTAATAGCCAGAGAATGTAGCTTAGATAGAACCGGGCACAGGTCCAGAAAACTTAGCACTGACGTCAAATACATGTATCATCAAATGGCAGCCGTAACTTAAAATGTTACGGAGTGTTCACATTCATTACAGGTCATTCTACAATTTTGGTGCAGTAGAATTTTCAGACGGGCTGTGACAAAACCAACCAATAAGGATCTAAGTTAGCCTTTTCTATTTATACAAGACACTGGACTCTGCAAGACACCAGCAGAGAAAAGAACAAGAAACAGTCATGCCATGCCTTCAAATATCAGAGTTATCAACAAAGAATCGAGGTGTTCAAAAACTTTTTTTCCCAAGAACTATTGTAGACTGGAACTCGTTGCCACCAAGCACAGTTGGGGCATCACTAGAAAGCTTTAAACAACTCCTGCAATTAAATGTGCAAAGATTGAGTGTAACAAGTTGTTCGGTGTGATATAGCTTGCTGCCACGCCGTATGCCTTTGAAGCCGGTGTGTTACGCCGAAGGGTGGTTATACTGGCTATACTGATACATGTGCAAGACTATTCCAAGAATGGTTGTTTGCAATATGTAAGACTCATCTTTGTATGACTGCAGAAAAGCAAAGCACAGAATGCTGAATGTGATACATCAATAAAGGATAGACATCCAGTTAGAAGTCCTGAACAATACATGATACAACTTACATGTAAATCAAGGTAACTGGGTAAAATCGCCAAAGAGTAAGATGTTTCAGACAGTATCAACTGTCCACAATAGGAGCTTTTTACTAATTTGCATCATCTTGCCTTCACTTTTCTAACTTTTGTTTCTTTTTGAAAAAAAAATTGTCTTCACTTTTTTGTATATCAATCAATAGTTTGTGCTTATAAACCTGTATTTCTCCTCTGGTCTCTGACGAAAGCTAGTGGATACTACATGTCTGACCATTTCCAAAATCATATCCAGTTGCTTGAGTAACTTCTTTTTGGCATATCTCATTACCTGGATGTCTAACCTTCATCGACGTATCCCTCTCAGTGACTGATGAAACATATTGGATGCTATCTGAAATGCCTGACTCTTAGAAATTTATCCAAGATTTATTTTCCATAGATATAACTGGGCACACTACCAGAAAACTTTCCACTAAGAAACCATCCAACTGCTATAACTTTACATCTAGATGTACAGCCAGCTTTGTATGTTGAATAGCAAAGCAAAGAATGCTGGAGAAGACATCTGTACTGCTGTAGAAGTGATAGAACTAGGCACAAAGTCAGACAACTTTGAAAAACTGCAGAAACTTCACTTATTGCTATGCAATCAATTATAATAGATATTGATGTAGAAGAGACAAAACTGGGCACAAGACCAGGAATCTTTCTCCCAAAGGCAGAGACCAGAAAAGCATCATTAATCTGTGCAAAGTATGCTTTTAAAAACTTTTATTTGAATGATAGTATAGAAGTATAGAAGGAAACCATAATTCTAACTGTAATGGCTACTGTGTCATGTCTAGTTTGTACCGGTAGTCTTAGTGTTTTCTGACATTATACTAGACCTGCAGGTATGCTGACTTTATGACCACTTATATTACTTCAAGGAACACAGTTTTTTGTGTATGATCATTGGCATGAAGTTGTTTCCTATGATATCTGTTGCAGACATTCACCATGCGAAGAAGTGTGGCCATCCTGGCAGGACTGTGGGTACTGGCTGTAGTACTTTCCATTCCTCTAGTGGCTGGTAAGTAGGGAAAAATTCTTTCGTAAACAAGAAATCAGAGATTTTAGACTTCCAAGACAGTTTTTCGGTATCCGATGTCTCACATTCCTGTGAATCTACAGATCTCACACAGATCTAGATCTCACATGACCCCATCAGTCAAACCCAATCTCAAATGACTCAAATGTCCCAGTGCGGAATCGACACAAACACACAAGCCCTCAAGTAGTGAGATTAGAAACAAAACTTCTGTCTCAGAAGTAACAAACTTTGCAAGGTCTATACATACCTGTCCTTCGTGTTAAAAACACTGAATCGACACAAACACACATGCCCTCAAGTCGGGTGACCTAAAACAATACTTCTGCCTCAGAAGTAACAGACTTTGCAAGGTATATACATACCTGTCCTTGGTGCTAAAACACTGAATCGACACAAACACACAAGCCCTCAAGTAGGGAGACCTAAACAATACTTCTGCCTCAGAAGTAACAGACTTTGCAAGGTCTATACATACCTGTCCTTGGTGCTAAAACACTGAATCGACACAAACACACAAGCCCTCAAGTAGGGAGACCTAAACAATACTTCTGCGTCAGAAGTAACAAACTTTGCAAAGTTTGTACATACCTGTCCTTGGTGATAAAAACACTGAATCGACATAAACACACAAGCCCTCAAGTAGGGAGACCAGAAACAATATTTCTGCCTAAGAAGTAACAAACTTTGCAAGGGCTATACATACCTGTCCTTGGTGCTGAAAGCACTGTTGTTTCAGTACCACGGACAGGTACTGTAGACACTGCTTGTATTGAGGTCTGAATGTCTGAGAAGGGCTTCATCTTCAAAGTCTTCACATTTCTTCCCATGTACAAAGTTTAACTCATGAGGAGTGACAAATGCTTGAAAGAATTCTATATACCGCTCTTGAGATGGTTCTACAGACACGGTGTCTCACCATCAGAGCTAAGGGAACAACAGAGGAGGGGGGAAATAATGCGATCTTGTCATTTTTGCGACAGCCTGAGGACAGATCACATCAATAATACAGTAGGAATCATCCACCCACATTAACTCCTACTGTCACAGTGATACATGACATATACTAGCAGCAAAGCTCAAAATACTGGAAGCATGTGCACCTTAGTGCACCCAAATTTGGACCTGTGCACCCAATTTTTTTCTGTGGGTGCATTTTCTTAGGTTTAACATATGTTAAGATGTTAAGTATATAGTAGTTACAGCATATTCTTCTAAGTGTTAGAAAAAATTATAATACATTCAATTTGTTGTAGCACTTTTCTCGAAATGAAACATAATTATAGTTTTTGCTGATTATACTTATTTTATCTTATATGGTGCACCTAAAATACTTTTTGTGCACCCAATTCTTTAGGTTGGGTGCACCACCGCATCTATTCCCAGAAATGAATCTCGAGCCCTGCTGGGCAGTGATTAAAATATCACACTATCATATTATCTTCACAGCAGCAACATTTCACGGTCTGAGGAAAATGAAAAATGTTCACCAGAGCCTAATTTTCATGGCGGTGGGAAAGTGGGAGGGGAGCAGAAGATAAATGATTTGATAACAGTAATTACAAGTCTATGGTACAGAGGTGACTGTAAAACCGTGAACATAAAAGTACCGTGAAAAATCAGGAATTACCATTATTATACATGTTAAAATATATACTAGAATGGAGTCGAATGGGCTAATGGTTGGGCTAGCAGACACGAGACCTAGAGGTTATGAGTTTGATTCCCAGCAAGATTGTATCCCTGAAAGGCACTTTAATTAACTTTCTTCACATGTAAAATGGCAGGAAAAGCAACAAGAAAATGTGAAGAAAGAAAATTAAGTGTCTATCAATCGCCATACCATCTGTGTGTTAAGTCATTTCTTGAACCTTCATGACCATAGATTTCATAATGAAGGCAACTTGTTTTGGCAAACTATATTTATTCCCATGCTCTAGAACTGTGTATCTAAACAAATTTTAGGTACAGGTACAGGGGTTTAGCTATTAATTAGGTACGGGTCCGAACCTGAAACTGTACCTGAATGATTCAATAAATTCAATGTTCTTCTGAACTCCTTCCACAGAAAAAAGAATAAACTTGACAGTTTAAGTGTAAGTTTGTCCTTACTTTGGGACCCATGGGGGACCAGCTATTTACACAATTTAGGTCACAAATAGGCATATAACTACTGTGAAATTATTTAGTTACTGTACCAGTACTCAGGGATTACATTTTTGTAGGTATTTTGGACCTGTACCTTATAAATTTTTCCGGTACAGAACCGGTACACCGGTACACAGCTCTAGCACACTCCCATCAGTTTTGGGGTTCCCAGAGAATGTTATCCATATAATCAAATCAACATGGCCTAACTACATGTATAACTTACTACAAGTACAGAAAATGAAGTTACCATCCGTTCCTCATTTCAGTAATACACAAGCTGACCGAAAAATGAACCTGTCTTTACAACATAGTTTCCACATACAACTGTTTTACCAGCTATATGTTCTTCCTAAGTGTGACGTGTGGGTTGTTACAATCAGATTTACCATACGTTGTGTACCTTTTTGTGTGGCCACAGCTATCCTAGGGATTCACACTAACACCAGATCATAATTCAGGATTTAAACTGGTCTCTAGTTGGGCGTATCGAGTAACATATTGACGTCAAATGGCTGCAACAACGGTGAATTACCGGTACACCACGAATCCCTAGAACATTTTTCAGCATTGAAGTCACTCTAGAAAGTCGTTTATAATGTAAATTCCTTTTCAAGTTTGAGAGGATAGGGGGATAGACGTAGGCATTCACGGTGTTTAAAAATTTGCAGTAGGCACACAAAGTAGATTACTACTGAAAATCTAATAATACTGTTCAGGATCTGATGACTTTACTGGGCTTGAAATATGTTTCTATGCATACATTGAAAATAACAGTCCTGTACTAGACATGTCTTTCCTGCACCACTCAGAATTTAGTAAGTACATGTATGGATCATACTTAAAAACTGTTCAGAAACCATTACAATTATTCAGAAAACATTGCAACTACAAAATGTATTACTTTTACAAAATGTATACTTCAATGGTGGTAACCCAGTTTATGGATGGGTACAGGTAGACATCAGAAATACCTGAACAGCTCCAATTTTACCTGCCCTAAGGCCACAGCAAGTTTATGGATGACATCAGCGCGCTGATTAATTTTCAATTTTCGAGAGAAAAAAAGAAATTTTGTGGCCTTCTGACAGTGGTCACCATGCCGAAAATGGGCAAAGATGTCTGTTGCCATGCCGGAATTTAGATGGTGGATAAATATGAAGAGAGGAGACAAGAAAAGGCTCTGATTTAATGTTTTGTTGCTAACTTTGATGCAGTGATAAGTGATGGTGGCTGTGTATATGTGATGTTCCCACTGAATCAAAACAATTTGTACAACGATTGAGTCAAATTTTTAAAATGTAGGAACCTTCTTTTTTTCAGCCTGCCTTGTCTTTTTTTTCGCCCGCTTGCTATAGATTTTGAGTCTGTGGAGGATGTCATCCATAAAATTTACTTGCTGTGGCCTAACTTGTGCAGGTAGTTTTTCAAGCCCTGCTTTGCGTCGGAGAGTTCACCAAACAAAGCTTGCAATATATAAAAACACCATGAATATTTCAAGAACTATGTATCTTTGACAAAGGGTTTACAGTTCTTTTATTCACTGCTCTTAGTTCAGTGATAAAGTTTCTGGTGTTTGTGAGAGCGGGCCCGTATTTATGCACTATCATGCTCCTCTCGGGAGAAACAACCTGGCCGTGTATCAGGCCTCGGTTGGATTAACTGAGTGCTCAGACGACTACCTGACAAGAATACAAAATTTGCTCAGAATGTTGGCAAGTTTTTCTGGGTGACAATGATGTCCTTGACAATGACAAACTAGAAAGGTAACATTTGCAAAGCAAATGCATAATGTTTACCTTCGCATACGGTATGCTCTGTTAATTCTTACTCAAACACATCCATATATATATAGTGACAGGAGTCTAAATCCCTTCTGCTATAAAACTGCAACATGATGTAACCCAACACTAGTTACCATGGTGACAGACGTCTGGTTCAGGTCACTGACCTTTTATGTTTGGAGAAGAGGAAACTGAGCAAAAACAATATGTTTTTGATACAAAACTTCATGATATTCTTAAGACGCAAATGAAATCCAGTACTTTTTATCTTCAAGTTTATAAACTCGAGTTACAAATGGCTCTAAAATGGTAACTTTGCAGGCTTTGTTGTTGCCTACTAGTATGTTTGGGGTTTCGTGGTGGCCTCTCTCATGCAAAATCATACATTAAGTGTACAGTAACTGTAACATTTAAAGTTAGCATGACCAGAAAATTGAATCTAAAAATCCAGTTTTGCCACCCTGAAATTGCATTAGATGCTTTTAAGTCTGTAAAATTTGCATAATTGCAGGAAGCTTTCCTCTCCCATCTCTCCCGAAAGCACTGTGCCATCACATAATCTCCCGACCAAGTTCCTAAACCGCTAGATTTACCGCGTCTGTCTGACAGGATAGCCATGGAAAATTTATTTTAGGTTTAGGAAGAACCCCCAAAATATCATGATTGTGTAAGCGATTGATCGGGTCCTAGAGTGTGTGGCTTTGGGATGTGATCTTGATGCATGTGGGTACCCCTGCCTCGAGCGCACTTAAACCTGGACTGCTTTAGGCTAAGTGCTGTGTGATCTTTCCGATTAAGCCACAAATCAGCTAGAACTATAGAAAGGCTGACATTTGCTCGGGAGCAAATGCAGCAGATGGCTTCACCACATCCCCCGTACCAAAAATAGACCCATTCCCCTCCCGCGGAAATGTTCCTAAATGAACCTTGTCCAAAATATGAAGTGTTCCAATAGTCTACCCCCATGCAGATTTTGGCATTCTATCATATTACTCTGATCATTTTCCAATATTTTTTTTGCAATTCATGGCACATATTTGCTCATTTTGG